GCCAGGTTGGCTAAAGCCTTGAGCAACCTGCTCTGGTGGGAGGTGTCCCTGCCCAGGGCAGGGGTTGGGGCTGGATGGTCTCTGAGGTCCATTCCAACCCCTAAAACTATGATTCTATGAATTTCAGACCATCTCTGAGGATATGTCCTGGGCAATGGACTCACAGCTCAACTGTGTTTTGCTTGTCCACTCTGCCCTGCACTTTCAGATGATAAACCCCAGTTCTTTATTAGCAGAAAAAATGGATAACTGTTCCTTAAGCACCTGCTATTGCCAGTCCAAATTTTGTAGATGTCATATGCCATCACAGACAGCCCTTTTCAAAGCTAACCAGCTTTGTGAACCATTCAGCCCTGAGAAGCTCTTCCTCATCTGCTTTGTCCCCTGCCTTTGTAGCCTTGACTGACTGTTTAGTTACAGTCTGCCCCTCTTGCCTCACTATCAGGCAACATTTTGCAATGTATTAGTAGCCTTTATAGGTTTTTGTTGGTTTTGACTTGTCTTGCTCATTTAAACTAGTTAATATGTATTTTCTGAGTCAGCTTGGCTAGTGATTATCACCCTTTTTCTATCTGGGAATCAAAAGCCTCCTTGAGGGATTCCTAATCCTTCAGGACAGTCTGAGCAAGATCATTTCATGCCAGCTGACAGGTGACTTTTTATGTAGGTGGACTGTGACAGGCAAGATAAGGGTGGTAGACAGACACACAGATAGGCAAGCACAGAGAAAGGGAAAAGGGCTTTATTTGCCAAGCTTGGTGATTTATTTTTTTCTTCCCTCATGCCATACAACTATTTGGTACTGAGGAAGGAGCGAGGACCAGCAATACCTTATAAAAAACTTAAATTTGCCACCTGTCTGTCTTTACTCTCTTTTGCAACGTTACTGTACCTGTTCTGTACGTTCTCCATTTCTCAGTGTGTAGGCTGCTGTTTTCATGACACCCCCAGACTCCACAGATCTGACTCTCCATGTGTTGCAAAAGATTGAGGGAGATGATGTACCTGTTGCCCTTTCCAAGAGAATAATTGGGAAGCATAGACAAGGTGAAGGTTTGTGGCGGCAAGTGGTTTAATTTATTGATTTTGGGCGGGGTTGTTTGTTGGTATTATGGTGGAATCCTAGAATTTTAGTGGTTGAAATGGACCTCAGAGTTCATCTGGTCCCCCTGGGCAGGGACACCTCCCACCAGAGCAGGTTGCTCAAGGCTCAGCCAACCTGGCTGTGAACACTGCCAGGCTTGGGGCAGCCACAGCCTCCCTGGGCAACCTGGGACAGGGTCTCACCACCCTCACAGGGAAAACTTCTGCCTAACATCTAACCTCAATTTCCCTCCTTAAATTTATGCCCATTGCCCCTTGTCCTGTCCCTGTAGCTCCTAACACAGATCCCTCTGCAGCTTCCCTGGAGCCCCTTCAGCTCCTGGAAGGTGCTCTGAGGTCTCCACACAACCTTCTCTTCTCCAGGCTCAACAGCCCCAACTCCCTCAGCCTGTCCTCACAGGGGAGATGCTCCAATCCTCTTAGCAACTTGGTGACCTCCTCTGCACTTGCTCCAACAGTTCCATGTCCTCTTCATGTTGAGGCACCAAAACTGTGTGCAGTATTCCAGGTGGGTCTCAGGAGAGCAGAGCAGAGGGGCAGATCACCTCCCTTGACCTGCTGCCCACACTCCTTTGGATGCAGCCCAGGCCTGGGTTGGTCTCTGGGCTGAGCTCATACTGCAGCTCATGGGGGAGTTTCTCACCCATCATCACCCCCAAGTCTTTCTCCTCATTGTTGCTCTCAATGACTTCCCTTACTCCCCTCCCTCTCTTACTACAAGGCAAAAGCATCAACCAATCCGTCAAACCTGCTGTGTTAGGTGAGCCCCAACAGCAGCCACAGCTGAGTGCTATGAGAATGTCTGGTTAAAAAAAGATGGTTTAGTTACCCTGAGTCAACTGATTATGCCATGGTGAAGTGTCCCTTGTTTCTTACTGACTTAAACTTCAGTAGCTGCAGGAGGAGCTGGTGTAGAACGTGTGAAATTTAAGGATGGGGGAAAAAAAAGCTCAGCTAATGTTGTTAGCACATGCAACATGTTGTAATATAGTGAAGACTATCTCAGATCAGCTTTGCGGGGCCTTCAGAGGGAAATACACTGTTTAGCAAGAGTTTATCCTGAAGCAGATAGATTATCCTTGTCTGTTGCAGGTGATAAGCCTTAATAGCAGGTGAAGGCACAATCTGAGTGGGTCATAGATGCTTTTATAATGAGCCAAATCATCCTGTCCCCTTTGCTAGGGCAGATGTCTGGACATAGGTACAGGAAGATCTGGTACTCATGAGAGCTGCTATTTATATGTCTATATTTGTATGATGAAAACATTCCAAACTATGAAAAATTCCAAAAAAATAAGCACCTTGGGATTCATGGAGAGCTTAATGGGAGGAGAGAGGAGAAACTTGGTTTAGCTCACAAAGGTAAAGACAGGGAAAGGTGAAAGCTTCTCCTGCAGAAATAGTGTGGATGCAAAATCTTGTTACTTCTTTCTGTAAACAGAAACTACATGAATGCCCTAAAAATGAGGCAATCTCTTTTACTCTTTGTCTATTTTTAGAGCTATTTTTACAGCATCTCTCTAATGCCAGGGAGAGTATTTTGCATCATCCTATTGCCTGAAGCTAACTGGAAAAGAAAGAGTTTTGGGGTCTTGTATTTCATAGGCTCTTGAGTAGCTCAATAATTTGTTAGGCTCACAGAAGAAAAACAACTTCCCTGTGTCCTGAAAAGAACTTTGAGCCAAACAATTCCTCCTGGAAATGGCAAAAAGGAAGTAATAAATGCAACAAAGTGTGCAGGACAACCCTCAGGCTGAGTTTGGGAAATGAACATCTCAGAGTTGGCAGCAGTGACAGAGCTGAGACAATTCACCTTAGGCAATAGCAGAATGTCTGGAAATGCTGAAATAAACCCTATCCATATGTCGTTTTCTTGTTTTGGGAACAGTGGGCCACACTGCAGATTGAGGAGGGAGTACAAAAGCAGAAGGCACTGGCGCTTGGCAGTTTAATCTCCACTGGTAAGAGCTCTGGCTGGAGGGAACACAGCACTGCTCAGCTTGTAAAAAGGCAATGACTCCAAAGTCTTCCTGGGAAATGTTTGGGCAAATACCTGTTCTGGTTACAAATCTATGTTATAAGCAAGATAATCTGTGAATAATTGAGTCTTCTGAATGAAAGGAGTTAGAGACTAGTGTTGGTACAGAAGGTCATGGCTGATTAGCATTTGAGAAGCTGTCCCTGTTTGCATGAGTGTTTTGTGCTTCCTGGCTCCATCAGCTCTGTCCTTACAAGAGTAAGAGGTCCTTTATTCTTGACATTGCTCTGCATGGATTCTCTTTTGCTTTTTGTGCCTTCTAGCATGCAAAACCCAAGGTCTCTCAAGCTGGAGCTATAGCATCCCCCAGATTACAATGACAATTTGCACTCCTCTCTAGGCATCCAGGCAGTGTTCATAGAATTTTAGGGGTTGGAATGGACCTTAGAGATGATCCAGCCTCAACCCCCTGCCCTGGGCAGGGACACCTCCCACCAGAGCAGGTTGCTCAAGGCTCAGCCAACCTGGCTGTGAACACTGCCAGGCTTGGGGCAGCCACAGCCTCCCTGGGCACCCTGGGCCAGGGTCTCACCACCCTCACAGGGAAAACTTCTACCTAAGATCTAACCTAAATTTCCCTCTTTCAATTTGTGCCCATTGCCCCTTGTCCTGTCCCTGCAGCTCCTAACACCAAGTCCCTCTGCAGCTTCCCTGGAGCCCCTTCAGCTCTGAGGTTTCTAGACAACCTTATTTCAATATACCAATAACTGAGTTATACCAATACAATGATGGTGCTTGAGTAGGCATTTCCTCCTGCAGGGATCATCCAGAGAGACACAGATATTTCACTATCTTCAGAATCCACACTGTTCCTTCCACCATGTGGAAGGAAGACTCATTTCCTCCTGCAGGGATCATCCAGAGAGACACAACCTTCATGGAAGAGGAGATTGCTGCCCAGTGCCAAGGGTGCTTCAGCCTGGCTGATGTGATGTACTTCTCTAAGAAGGGCTGTGAGGCAGTTGCAGAAGATGAAGTGACTCGATGCTTCTCCTCAGAGGAGCTGATGTCCTGGAATCTTCTCAGCAGAACTAATGCCAACTTCCACCTTGTCAGCTGGCAACTGACTCTCCTGTGGGTCATTGGGATTCTGATTCGCTACTGTATCCTGTTTCCTTTCCGGTGAGTTGGATAATTTGCTGCAATCTGTTTTCCATGTGGCTTTTCACACAGGTTGTGAAATTATATGCTCTTGGTTAGTGCAGGAAGGAGAACCTGCCATGACTTTTCCAAGACACCACCTAGACCCAAATATCCCTAAAAGGAAAGAGAAAGGTGCTGAAAATGTAAATTTGCCATGTCCTTTATGTTTCATTAGTAATTAATTTGCTTTTAAAATCCATAAAAACTATATAGGAATAAATTGTATAACTTTTTGTGCCATGAAGGAACAACTGTTCCAACCGGAAGGATCAGTTGGAACAGTTGTTCCAACTGTCAGAACAGTTGGAACAGTTCAGTGCTCAGTGACTGCACAGCAAAGAAGTTCTTCCTCATATTCAGGTGGAACTTCCTGGGCATCAGTTTTTGCTGTTCCCTCTTGTTTCATTGGCTTCCCCACTGAGCAGAGTCTGATCATCCTCTTGGCACTTCCCATTCATGGACTTGAATCCATTAATGAGGTCCCTCTCAGTCGTCTCTTCTCTAGACTGAACAGGCCTAACTCCCTCAGACTTTCCTCATCACTGAAGTGCTCCAGTCCCTTCACCACCTTTGTTTCCCTCCCCTGAACTTACTCCAGAAGCTCCATGTCCCTCTGGCCCTGAGGAGCCCAGAACTGGAGACAACACTCCAGGTGTGGCCTCACGCGGGCTGAGCAGAGGGACAGGATCACTTCCCTGATCTGCTGGCAATGCTCTCCTTAATGTATCCCAGATTCCATTGGCCATCATAGCTACAAGAGCACATTGTGACTCATAGACAGCTTGTTGAACACTGTGTCTTCTTCTCCATGTGATAGCTTCAGGCCAGAACATAGTGCTTTTGGGAAGACAGGCTCCAGGCAGCACAAGGTTTTGTCTTTGCGCAGGATTAATTGACTGGAAACATGTGTTTGTTTTGTCCTGTTGCTCTTAATTGGTTTGTATTGCTAGTTAGATGTTATTAATGGTGGAGGGAAGCATTGTGAAATGCAGCAAAGGGTTAGATTAAATATTTTCTTGCTTGCTTTTCTGGTTTTGCTTCTCAGCACTTAATTAAGATTGTTTTATTTTGTAGCATCTGCTTGTCTGTTTTCACCATCCTGTTACTGGTTTTGGCAACTACAGTGGTAGGACAGTTTCCAAATGGCAGGTAGGTATTTTCTGGGGACTCTTGCCATTTCTTTTGTATACCTTTAATGGTTTGAACTAGTAGTTGGAACATAAATCTGCCCAGGGAGATGGTGGATTCACCATCCCTGGAGGTTTTCAAGCTGAGACTGGATGTGGCACTTAGTGCCATGGTCTAGTAACCATGGTAGGGTTGGACTTGATGATCTTGGAGGTCTTTTCTAAGCCAGTTGACTCTATGATTCTATGATGATTATTAATGTGATGTATCCTCTTCATATGATCTTTGTAGTAACAGATATTGGGAATAATTCTGAGTTTGCATTGTTCCTTATAACTGGAAATGTATGTATGGCTGCATTTCTTTCAGAATTAAGGGCTGGCTGAGCAACCAGGTTCAGATGATCTGTGCCACCTTAGGCATTCGCTGTCTGAGTGGTCTTGTTCGCTTCCACAACAGGTGAGTGGTGTCACTCTGCTCTCACAGGTTTGGTGTTGGTTTCTTGCACTGTTTTTACACATGTATTGTTTTAATGTTCGTATTTGAAAATGCTTTGTGTTCTGTCATGTCCTGTGGATTTGCAGATGAGGTGTGTGCTTGAAATGTTTTTATCACTCAGTTTCAATTGCAGATGTATCCTTGCTGCATGGGTCACCTGTTGGGGCCTGTAGTATGGAGGATAAATATCAACTAAGTGCTCTTATGGTTGTCATTGCAGGGAAAACAGACCTCGGGAAGGAGGTATCTGTGTAGCCAACCACACATCTCCATTGGATGTGCTGATCCTGGCCAGTGATGGATGCTACTCCTTGGTATGAACAAGAGGGTTGGTAAATACGAGTCATGTTAAGATGCCCATGGATGTAGTGTTGGGTTAAAGTATAAACTGAGTGGTAGAAAGTGGGATTGTACTTTGGGGACATCATTGAGAGCAACAATGAGGAGAAAGACTTGGGCGGCACGATGGTGGATGAGAAACTCCCCATGAGCTGCAGTGTGAGCTCAGGCCAGAAGCCAATCTAGGCCTGGGCTGCAGCCTGGGAGTGTGGGCAGCAGGTCAAGGGAGGTAATTCTTTCCCTCTATACTGCTCTGGTGAGACCCACCTGAAATACTGCAAACAGTTCTGGTGCCTCAATGTGACAAGGACATGGAAGTGTTGGAGCAAGTCCAGAGGAGGCCACAGTTGCTGAAAGCACTGGAGCATTCCTGTGAGGACAGGCTGAAGGAGTTGGAGCTGTTGAGCCTGGAGAAGAGGTGTGGAGACCTCAGAGCACCTTCCAGGATGCTGTGGCTTTCCCAACCCTGGCAGTGTTCACAGCCAGGTTGGCTGAGCCTTGAGCAACCTGCTCTGGTGGGAGGTGTCCCTGCCCAGGACAGGGGGTTGGGACTGGATGATCTCTAAGGTCCATTCCAACTCCTAAAACTCTGTGATTCTATGATAGCATCCAAACTCATGTTCCTCACTGCAAACAATTAGACCCAGGCAGGTATGTGCACATTTCTGGCCAAGAGGATTGGTATCATTTGTGAATGAGCTCAGAAACTGATGCATCTTTGTTTAGAATTTTATCATTAAGTCTCTGTGTGTGTTTGTGTAATAACAAGTGATTTTTGTGCTTCCAGGTTGGCCAGGCACATGGAGGGCTTATGGGCCTGATTCAAAAATCTTGCATGCAAACCAGTCAGCATGTCTTGTTTGAGCGCTCAGAAATGAAAGACCGTCACCTGGTGAGGAAAAAGTAAGGTAGTGAGGTGTTTACTTAATCCTCCAGGCAGGTCTAGTAACTGGGAGGTTCAATTGCTTGAGCTGAGACAGTTCTCACCCTGCATCTGTCTTTGGTGGGCAGCTGATGGCTGTCTTCATGTTTGGAACTGCTCCATCACAGAAGATGCAGGTGTAGCAATCATCTACTGGGTGATCCTGAAGGTCCTTTCCACCCCAGACCATTCCAACCATAGTACTGCACTTCTGATCATTTGCCATGGAACCTCTGGAGATTTCCACTTTGCCACAATGGCCCTGCCTGCCACGGACAGGAGCCTGTTCCTTCTGCTTCAAGGTTGATGATTTGGGATGTCGGGACGGAAATCAGAGTTCTGTCAGCACTTCTGTTGCCCAGTCATGGCTTGTTCTGGGCCATTTACTCATCAGCTCTGAGCTCGTTGCATCTGCTGTGAGTAAAGGATAGAGGGAGGGTGACTGCAGCAAAGCAAACCCTCAAAACCAAGGTACACCTAGAAGCTGGAAGAGCACCTGGAGTAGTGTCATAATATGTTTGCTTAATGCCTCTGCTGCTCTCAAGACATGCAATAATGATTTGTGGCAGAGACAGCAACGTTGTACTTTAAGGATATGAACAGGATTGACTCAGTAAGGCAGTTCTTATATCCTCAGGTGTTTACACAGACTGTTCTTAGTCATTGTAAATCTTCATGGAAAGGTGCAACTCAGCTAAGATGAAGTGTCTACAGCAGTTTGTTCTTAGAGAAATGGAGAAGTTCCTCCTGGGCTGGATCATTCTCTCCTTCTTTTGGTCTGATTTTTGATGTTTTATTCATGTTCTTTGCTGCAGACTGGAGAGGAGCTGCATCCTCTTGAGTCATAGCAAGGACAGGTGTCTTGGGAAACAACAGAGTTTGGTGTCAGTAACCTGCTCAGTGGTGATACATTTAAGTAATGCAATAAATGTAATGGAATAATGACCTGGCTCTTAACTAGACATGGAGAATTGTTAGATACATGTAGAAGTTATGAACCTAGAAGGCACAAAAACTAGAAATATAGAATATACTTCAGGCCAAGGAAAGGTTTGACTGTGTTCATAGCTGAAACCTGGGGAGTGATCTCTACACACCAAGTAGCACCACTCTCTGGCTTCACTGGGGCAACAGGGTAAAAAGAAATTTCATAGTTTTGTAGAAAAACAGCTTTTGAAGTTAGCAAGACATACTGAAATAAAGGCCTGAAACTAGTACATATCCCAACTAACTGGCAAAGGACAACTGGACAAGGGTTTTTCTTCTCCTGTGTAAGAGGCAACAGATGCTTAGATTCTTAGAAAAAAATATGCATATGAACTGTACACTGAAACTTTATTTTCTTTCCACAGGATTAGAGAACACATTGCAGATAAGGCCAAATTACCCATTTTAATCTTCCCAGAAGGTAGGAAACAACTCTATTGATTTGATTGCTCTTCTCCCTTCTTGCCATGGAGTGCAGTTCATTATACCCAGTCTTGGCAGGTGAGGTGTTTGCTTTTAGTTTGTAGAATTAATTAGCTCTCATGAGATATTAAACATCAGGTTCTCGTAGTTTACAACAGTTTTATGACACACTATTTACTTCAGTGTGTAGCATAATGGAGGAGAGAACAGGCTCTGGCATTAATCTCTCAGAACTAAAACATTCTCCTTGAGCAACTTTAGTCTCCTTAATGTACTTTAGGATTCATTTGCTGCTACTTTTGTCTGAGTGGATTAAGCTCTTCATCTGTTTTAATTCTGACCAGGTACCTGCATTAACAACACCTCAGTAATGATGTTTAAGAAGGGAAGCTTTGAGGTAGGAGGGACCATCCATCCAGTAGCAATCAAGGTAAGGTAACTGCACTTTTCCAAGGGTGGCAGGATTATTTGCAGAAACTTCTCATGCCAGAGAAGTTGTTCCTTTGTAAACCTGAAAAAGGAGGTGGTTTGGTGTGAATATGGTACTGAACAATCTCTGAGAAATCCGAAACCTCTTATGGTTTGCAATGTCCAGTGCAGTATGGGAAGTGTTAGATGGAGTATCTTTACACGTGGTTAGGTGCAGCCTGAAAAGCACAGTGACAATTGCTGTGCTGTGTGTTCAGTTTTGTCTTCTCTCTCAGGCCTAGGGCTCCTGGCTCTCGTGTGCTCTGAGAAAGCCTTGGAAGTGCAGTTAAAGTGCCTTTCTCAGCAGCTTTAGCCAAGTCACCCTAGCTCTAGATACACTAGTTAATCTTTCTGGAACTATAACATTGCCTGATCTTATGGAAATTTTTAACTCTGGTGTGAGGAAGCCTTTGTAGTCAGCGTATCTGTAGAGGACAAGTCTTTCTTGAGTTGTTCTCTCATTATAGCTGTGCCTCAATGGGTCTGTCACACTTTGGGGTCCTGCATTTGCTTGCAAAGCTTAACTGCTGAAATGTGGAGCTTTAAGCTGAATCTCCTGATGCTTTTAAGAGATGTGGTTAGATTGGTCTCTGATTTAATAAGTTAAATAGTAGCATTGTGGCCCAAAAAAGAAGCTAATGTGATTTAAACTAAGGTAGCAGATCATGCCCTTGTGCTTATTCTTCTTGTCTTCTTCCAGTATGACCCTCGCTTTGGAGATGCCTTCTGGAACAGCACAAAGCATTCCATGATGACTTATGCTTTCAATGTGTTGACCAGCTGGGCTATTGTCTGTAATGTGTGGTACCTGCCCCCCATGGTCAGAGAGGTACTTGTGCTTTTGTGTGTTTGGAGAGTGCTTGTGAAATGTTGTCTGGAAGGAAAGGGCTCTGCATGGTGTGTTGGTATTAGGTTTGCAAAGCTTTATTGACATCTTCATGGACAAAGGCCAAAAAGCAATGCTATAGTCTTGAAATCAAGTGAGCACAGATTTATGTGGATTTTTTATCTTCAAGTAAAAACTACTCTTGAAGATCACAGAAACATAGAATTTTAGAGGTTGGAATGGAGCTTAGAGATCATCCAGCCCCAACCCCTGCCCTGGGCAGGGACACCTCCCACCAGAGCAGGTTGCTCAAGGCTCATCCAACCTGGCTGTGAACACTGCCAGGGTTGGGGCAGCCACAGCCTCCCTGGGCAACCTGGGACAGGGTCTCACCACCCTCACAGGGAAAACTTCTGCCTAACATCTAACCTCAATTTCCCTCCTTCAATTTGTGCCCATTGCCCCTTGTCCTGTCCCTGCAGCTCCTAACATAGATCCCTCTGCAGCTTCCCTGGAGCTCCTTCAGATATTGAAAGGTGCTCCGAGGTCTCCACACAACCTTCTCTTCTCCAGAGATCTCATCTCCTGCAAGATCCTGTTGGTGTGTTCCCACTTTCAGACTCAGTGGGAGCAGATGCATCCCCTGCTCTGACCCAACCTGTGCCCTCATGCTGTGTGTTGTTTGAGATTGTCCCAGTAACCACAGAGCCTCCCACTTAGTTCTTTCTGGCACTGAATTGTGGCAAACCAAGCAGGATCTGCTGGAACTGCCCTGCAGGTCACATTTGGCTGGTGGGTCTGGCCCCAACCCAAGTGGCTGTTGTCTGATGAAATACATACAAGTGTGGGACAGACAGAAGGTTTTAGGTCACAGAGCAAATAATCCATAGATTTTTTCAGGAAGAAGAAGATGCTGTTCACTTTGCCAACAGAGTCAAGGCGGTCATTGCTGCTCGGGGAGGAATGTCTGTGCTTCCTTGGTAAGAAGCAACACCTCTGAGGTTGGGTTGAAAGCCTATGTAAGTGTTCTGTAGTCTGAAACATTAGCCTGGGATAATGTAAAACTCTTCCAGACTTGCTTTGTTTGGGCTGCATTCCATCAGTTAGGAAATACTACTTGATTATTGAACAGTTCCACTAGAATAAATACAATAACAGAGAGAGGAATGGAGCTGACAGGTGGATCTAGCCAGCAGGCAGTGTCACAGGAAAATAAATTGCTGTCAAATGCTGGGTTAAAGGAAGAGCACTGTGGTGTGGTAAGTCTTGGCAGGACAGATCAGTTAGCATTGTCTTGCAAAAGCCAACACTGAGAGTGGAAACTGCTTTGACTACACAGCCTGAGTATTGCAATGTTTTTTGGCCTTGACCCTGAAGTGAGCTCAAGGCTGTTTGTTTTCTGTATCTTTCAGGGATGGGGGACTGAAACGGAAAAAGGTCAAAGAGTCTTTCAAGGAAGAGCAACAGAAAAAGTATTGCCAGTTAGTACTTGAAAATGGATCTGTGGGAAATGGAAATGTTTGTTGAATGGTATTTATTTGATATCAGTTTTCCATGATTTATCTCCACCAGAAAATAGGCTGGGTTTTGTATTAAACCCACCATATTTTTCTTATGTCCCTGTAAGATACTTTGCATATGACACAGCAGAGAAATCATGTTTAATACAAAACACTATCATTTTATAAATGGAGAATTATAAAATCATAGAATCACAGAATCAACCAGATTGGAAAAGACCTTGAAGATCATCAAGTCCAACCCTATCGTGGTCACTAGACCATGGCACTAAGTGCCACATCCAGTCTCAGCTTGAAAACCTCCAGGGATGGGGAATCCACCACCTCCCTGGGCAGCACATTCCAATGTCTGATCACTCTCTCTGTAAAAAATCTCTTCCTAATCTCCAACCTAACCCTCCCCTGGCAGAGCTTGAGTCTGTGCCCTCTTGTCCTACTAGGAAAATTCTCTCCAGTGCTGAGTGAGATGAATCTGCAATAAAATCACTTAGGTTCATTTAAGCACCATTTAAAAATGTGTCATATCCTGAGGCTTTGAATGGTTACTTCAAATAAAATATACTTCCAGCCTCTCTGAGGCTTGGACTAGGAATGTTCCTGGGAGCCACAGGATCTGTGTTGCTGTAGGGAGAAATCTCCTGATGTCAGAGACTCCCTCAGCCTGTCCCCATACGGGAGATGCTCCAGTGCTCTTAGCAACTTGGTGGCCTCCTCTGCACTTGCTCCAACAGTTCTGTGGATACCTAGGTGTGTGATGCTGAGATGAATTAGTCACAGCCAATGACTCTGTCATAGAAAAATACATTGCCATCTGAAATTATATTGTATGTTCCAATTTTGTTATTTCCCTTTCTGTATCTGTCTGCATCACACAAATTAAAGAAAGCCTATGGTGTGACATCCATTGTCCTTTGTTGTTGTTATTTCTGGATAGAATCACAGAATTTTAGGGGTTGGAATGGACCTTAGAGATCACCCAACCCCCTGCCCTGGGCAGGGACACCTCCCACCACACCAGGTTGCTCAAGGCTCATCCAACCTGGCTGTGAACACTGCCAATACCTTGATGCTGTTTGTCCTGATCTGGAACTGGAGATGCTTCCAGAAGAAGACAAGATATTTGGATAATAAGGGGGATGTTATGAACTTGGTTTCCACCAGCATTTCCTTGAGCTGTAGAGAGAGCAGCAACAGTTGGTGCTGAAGTTAACAACCCAGAGTCTTTCAAACTCTTCCATGTGCATCTTGCCCTGGAAAGGAAAGCAGCCTCAGCAGCTCTCACCTGGTGTTTGGGCTGAGCCTCAAGGCACTCTAAGGAACATATTGTGGTTCCACATGCAGTCTGAGGCCTGAGGTCCAGTAGACCAATGGAGATAGGTCACAGATATGTTATGGGTGGCATCTCTGAGTTTTCTGGCCTCTGTGTCCTGAGATGTTTGTGCTGATGTGTTGTTCTGGTTCTTTTGAGCAGGTTTCCCAGCTGTGGCACAGACTGTGGAGATGACCTGCAGGGGTTTCCTTGTTCATTTGGATTTGGAAAAGTAAGCTTAGAAGTTAATTATTAGTTTCATTCTACAGACAGGAAGGACCTGAGCTTTGCAGCCATTTCTCCTCTCCCCTCCTCCTCCTCCTCCTCTATTTATTACTCTGTTTAAGGCTGACTCCTCAATTAGTGTCCCAGACTCCTCTGTGAGCAGAGTTCATTGTGATCAATTGTCATCAAGACTAGCATTTAGTACCTCTAATCAATGCTGGTCTATATAATGCCTGTGGCATTGACTGATTTCTAATTTTACAGTATGTTGAGCCCTGTTGAACTCTTTTAATATGATAATTGCTTCACTAATCAGTAGTCATGATTTGGGTGCAATTGTGAATTATTGACAGCAGTTGAGATCCCTTGATATTTCTATTTGATTAGATGAGAGATGCACGTGGTGAAAGAGATTTAATAGCTAAACTGTGGATGTCAACCAGAGTAACATGGGGGAAAATACTATATCCTCATATATTAAACTGTGCAGAAGTAGGTGTTTTATGTAGTAGATTATATAGTAGATTTATGTTATATATATAATACAGAGTAGATTTATTTATATAGTGATGGCACAAGCATTCACTGGTTGAGACACTAAATACTGTGTGTACCAATTATACCATAGACTGTTTCTAAATCTATACGGCTATGAGCAGCCCCATTTACTTCTACCATTTATAACTTAGAGAAGATGTAAGTATGTACATGTATTCACTAAGACAACCTGCATGTTATACTTCAGATAACCAGTGTTATACTTCAGAGAACCACTCTGTCCACTGTTTTATTACTATTATTTTCTACAAGGGATTATAAGGAGAGAGACCTACAAAAACATTACATTTCTGCTAGATTTCAGGCTGGTTTCTATCCAGATGCTGCCTTAGACATTTGGGTTTGTAAGCTCTCTGCATGTTGCAGTTTTCCCCTTCGCGTTGTGTGTGTGACATTACATTGCACAGCAGAACCAGGAGGTGGCAGCTCCTGTATGTGTGTCTGAGCTGCCAGGAGGACTAGAACCTTAGCAATGCTCTTCAGGGAAGTGCAAGTTTCAATAACACTTAACGAGAAGGAAAAAAAAAAAAGCTGCAAAGGCAAGTTAATTTATTGGCCATCAGGTTGTTTTGGCCTTCCTTAAAATCCTGGCATGGATGGAAAAGGACAATTTCATTTTGAGCTGAAAATTTGCTACACTGGAAACTTCAGTCATTAAAGAGATCATGAAATTCTGGAATAATATATCTGTGTTTCTTCTTCACTGTTTCTTCTCTCCAAATGCAGTAGAAAGGACAGCAAAAGGAAGTGCCATAGAATTTTAGGGGTTGGAATGGAGCTTAGCGATCATCCAGCCCTAACCCCCTGCCCTGGGCAGGGACACCTCACACCAGAGCAGGTTGCTCAGGGTTTCATCCAAACTGGCTTTGAAGACATGCTCCTTGTGCTGATGCCACAGATGGTAACACATCTGCTGGGTTGGTGGTTTGGAGCATTTTTGTCCTGGAGATGGTGTGTGCATCTCTGCCTGTGTCTGACCCATAGAACTGCACAGATACAAAGCTCCATGTTAATGCAGGGGTGAAGGTTTCTAGGTGGTTTGATCAGTTGAGTGGAGATGCTTTTAAGGTCACAAAGGCAAGGCCATTGCTGAATTGCCTTCTAATGCTCCTCTACCACTACAGAACCAAGCTTGAAGTATGTTGTTTTGTTGTGTAGCAGCATATTTAGCAGCTTCCAGGAACAGGCACTGAGATGTCTCACTGAAACATGAGTGAGTGCAGGGCTTGTTAGAAAGGTCTCAAGGTCCTGATTCCAAGACTGACAAGGAGTCTCAGGTTTATGCTCCCACTGATAAAATCCTGCTGTAGATGGGAGGCCAAATGACCACAAAACATGTGCAGAGGGTCTCTAAATGCAAAGTGCTGGGTGCTACACTGGGGTGTAGCCATATGGTCATTGCATCAGAGATGATGTCTCTCTCTCCTCTTCCTCCCCGGCATTAAAGGCTCAGTTTCTCACCAAGTCACCTTAACAAGGCACGTCTGAGGCACCCAGGGCTGTGTGGGGATATGTGTGCAGTTTCTGTGGCCTGCAGTTGTCTCCACCACAGTGTGTTTCATGTCAGCTGGGCTAACTAGAATCCTCTCTCTTTCTGCTTGCTTCTCTTCCCATCCTTCTCATCTGTTCACATTTTGCCATTCTTGGTCAAGAGAAAGCAAACTCATGGCTTTTAGCAGGGTTTGAACTCTAGCTGGATTGCTGAACTCCTAGCAACATACATTTCTGACTCCTGGAAATGAAGTTGAGGTGGGCCATGCCTGGCTGCTGTGTTCATCACGTGCACAGTGCTTTTAAGCCTCATTCTTGCTAGAGACAACACACAAGACTGCAGCTCTGGCAGGACATACTGCCAGGCTTCAAGGCTGCATAGAAGCCAAACTACTTGTATTTATTTTCAGTGTCCTAACAACTGGAGGGCCGTAACAGCAGACAGTAAAATTCCACTTAGGTTCCTGGATACAAAGTGAAGCTGAAAAACATCTGGCTCCTTGTATAAAGGGTACCAATTTTTTCCAGTGAGTTATAGCAAATACAGTGGTAGAGAGACAGCATGACCTGTGTGCAGCCAGAGGAGAGATGAGAGAGTGCAGAACTCCCCCGAGTGGTTTGCTGGCTACCTGCCATTCCTCAATGGCAGAAGATAAAAGGAAGTACTAGGATAACTACCCTGACCCTATTTCTTTCCAATAAAATACAGATATTTACATGAGATGAAACTGATATTCTGAGGCTGCCCAGCTCCAGTGAAGGGAGACAAATGAAGAACTACTTTTTATTAGATCTGACCTACCAGAAGCCAATAACACATGCAATAACTTAGCAAAGGGAGAGTGGGACTGCCAGAGGATGTGGTGCTGTCCAGGCTCTCTTCACAGGCTGTTTTAACAGGACTCAAGGAATCAGAAAATGGAATGGACCTTAGGGATCATCCAGCCCCAACCCCTGCCCTAGGCAGGGACACCTCCCACCAGAGCAGGTTGCTCCCACAACCTGGCTGTGAACACTGCCAGGGTTGGGGCAGCCACAGCCTCCATGGGCAACCTGGGACAGGGTCTCACCACCCTCACAGGGAAAACTTCTGCCTAACATCTGACCTAAATTTCCCTCCTTCAATTTGTGCCCATTGCCCCTTGTCCTGTCCCTGCAGCTCCTAACACAGATCCCTCTGCAGCTTCCCTGGAGCCCCTTCAGCTCCTGCAAGGTGCTCTGAGGTCTCCACACAACCTTCTCTTCTCCAGCCTCAACAGCCCCAACTCCCTCAGCCTGTCCTCATAGGGAGATGCTCCAGTGCTCTTAGCAACTCGGTGGCCTCCTCTGGACACCAACATACATTGATGGCACCAGAACTGTGTGCAGTGTTCCCGGTGAGTCCCATATTTCCCCTTCCTGGAAACAAAATTTGCAGCCATGCTCTGTACCACCAAAACTTGATATGTGCTGATAATTAAGTGGGATAAAACAAGTATAGCCAGAGAAATATAAACATAAACCATTTGAAAAAGCAGTGTGATAAGACCGATGAGAATTTTGCACAGGCTTTTTATG